AAACTATTCATGGAATTAAAGCATTAGCGGGTCATTGAGGGTTATAAAGTAATGCTAGCATTGGCTTCGACTTTATTTTTAAAAATTTAACTGAGCTATTATAGAATGTGATAAGAATAGAGGAAAGAGTAGGTCGTGGGCCCCCTTCAATGGGTATGTGCTGAAAATGACAGCTAATTTGAATATTACCTTTTTGAAAACCGAAGAAGAGAAATATCCTGAAGACCAGATGCACAACTCCCTAACTTAGTGCCTTTATGTCACTGTACCATGCCACCCTTCTGTCCCCACAGACGATGAAGATATGAACTCATTGATAATGACATACCTATCAGTCCTCAACCATATCCCTATTTAAAACTGGATTTTCACAATAGCTTTTTGAAAGACCTGTCACTTTTTCAGTGTCGCCTCTCTGTTGCGCTTCTCAGTGGGAGCTGACATTTTGCTGATACTTCATCAGGCTGGACTGCCTGCTGAGAGCCAGATTGGTAAGGGATATGCATCTCACTGCTGGAAAGGAGGGAAGATGTATTATTTAAATACAATATATTTTACAGCAACTTTAAAAATCAGATTTAGGATTGTTTCAGAGAGGTTGGAAACATATTATTGCATCTCACTTCTTCGAATTTGAAGATAGTTAGAACTTTTAATTGTTCTAATAGATTTTTATTTAATTTTGTTTTACATGTACTCATTTTTTTCTGCCTTATGTAACGGATTTCTTTTTGACAATGGTGTGTCATAAAGGAAATGCCAGCCCTGACTTATGTTAGGTGTGTTACAGGTAGTTGAGAAACAACTAGAGCTTGTTTAAGGGAACAAATGGTTAACCTAGATCCAAGCCAATACTCCAACCACATGAATTCTGGAGAAAAGTAGTGAGGAGGCTGTATCTACACATAAAGCAATCCAACATTTTTTGTTTTTTGAATTTTGAATCATTTCAGTCAAAAAACTGATTTTCGTTTTAAAAATAAAATAGACTCATTTTATATCACTTTGGCTACTGTAGATAAACTCAACTGATATGAAGTAATAGAAAAATAAAAATAAATAAAAACAAATAGACTAAATAGAGAAATTTTGGTTGGCTGGAACTATTTCTTGATTAATTTAATTCAACCGAAAAGGTCAAACCAGTTATCTGTTTAGAAACAGTAAAATAAAATGAACACCTGAAAAGTAACCATTTCTTAATACCAAAAGAGAAAGTAAAATTAAGAAACCATTTTGTGTGTTCAGACTATATTATTTGCCAGCTAGCGGTATACCAAAGCTGTTACTAACAGCTCGAGAAAGCCAATTGTTAAATTTTCGGAAATTTTTGCAAGCCAATTGACATTACATTGGTTGCCTGAAGTCAACATGGTGGGAGTATTACAGTGTGGAAATTGGCAAATGCTACAAACCAGGGTTTTTATATTTTAGAGAACCAGTTGATAAACGTTTACCTGATTACCTCTACAGAAGGTTTACACCTATGTTCAGCATGGTTTTCATATTGTTTAATAATGTTTAATCATCATCATTTCATTATGATTCATCATTTCATGATGTTTGATTATATGATATTTAAAGCATAAACTGTATTTGAAATTAGTATCTCCCTTCTAGTGTCTTCTCCCTCATTCTCTCTTATTTTCTTTCCTTCAGTAGTGGAGAAGCCTCTTTTGTAAATGCTCATTAAAAATATGGCAAAATTCAGAAGAGTAATAACAAAATGACTGAGGGATAGTGAATGGAATTTCTGAAGAGAAGGAAATGAAGAGTTCAGTGGAAGCATTATAGCCATACCTTATTTGCTCTTCCCTTTGCTGTGCTTGCAGATAATGCTTTTTTTTTTTTTTTTTACAAATTGAAGGTTTGTGCAACCTTGTGTCAAGCAAATCTATGATGCCATTTTCCAATGGGCTCAGATGATCAACATTTTTTAACAATAAAGTATTTTTAAATTAAGGTATGCATATATTTTTAGACATAATACTGTTGCACACTTAATAGACTACAATACAGTGTAAATATAACTTTTATATGCACTGGGAAACCAAAAAAATTTGTGTGATTTGCTTTATTGAGAATTTTGCTTTATTGCGGTGGTCTGGAACTGAACCAGCCAACGTATGCCTGTACAATGTTCTTCTAGGGCTTTTAAAAAAAGAATTTTAGTGGTGCTGCTAAGCAAGGCTCAATATCCACATATGTGAAACAAAAGAACACAGTCTTAAATTAAAAGTTCAATTAGATTGAAAGAAAACATCTTCACTATTTAGGAACAGTTAAGTCCACCTGACAATATGTTAAGAACAGACAACTATCTTACTTGGATATTTAGTCAATGATTGACCTGGAGATGATTTATTATCCTCCCTGATTGTTAAGAAAGAAAATCAGAAAGACAAAATATACAAAGGGAAAAAGTTTTTCACCCATAGTCCAACCATTTAGAGATGGCCACTCTTAACAACCGCTGTCCTTTCTACTACAATTTTCCACATGTACACATGGGGACATGTTCTTACAAATTTGGATCATTCCTTATACACATCATTTAATGCCAATTTCAATTCTCCTGACATTACACATTCTTCCAAAACATGAATCTTAATCATTTCGGAATGGTCCACTGATGTGTTATAGAATTTGTTTAATCATTTTCCCTCTGGTGGATATTTAGGTTGTTTCTATTTTGTAATGGACTATTATAAATAATGCTGGGATAAAGAATAAGCTGGAACTAACTCGCAAATTATTTGGTAAAATGCCTGATATATAAGGCTAAACTGCCCTTCTCAGAGATTGTAATTCTTACCGAGGGTATGACGGTATCTACGAAGCCACCGATGCCCACTCCCAACACTGTTTAGAGAATGGAAAGAACTACAACCTATATCACCCAGAGTTTTCTAACACAGTGAAATAAAACCCTTTAAAAAAATAATTATTTTCTCCAAGTATTTGTATTTATAACTTCTAAAAATTAGAATTTATATAAAGCCAATATCTTTAGAAATAGCTTTTTGTCTCTTTTGCCTCTTAAACATATGACCTTGTATCTTATAAGTATTTTTTACAGTTTGTTATGCAGAGTAACTGGGTTTTAAAATTCTGTAAGAACCATAAAAGGATATTTAGAGAAATGTATGCTTCTCTTCAAACACAAGCCCTTTTTTAAATGCCACACATTCTTTGTGGTATATGCATGAAGCATTTTTAATGAGTCCTATCCTTTGGTTCCATTCATTTTACTAAATATCTTATTATGATGATTATATAATTGTGTTTGTATCTGTGTGTAAAATCAGATAATACCATATAACACAAACATTGAACTGGGCTAGGAGTCAGGGAAAATTTTTGCCTATTCAGTTTAATGCATTATGTCATGTATCAGGTTGTCAACAAAAAATTAGGACACTCATCAAAAATCTCTCAGGACTATCATGATTCATTCTCCTGGGGTTTGAAATCATTCTAGGATTTCAAATCCCAGAGAGATGTAACATAATTATTTAATTAATATTTTAAAGAATGATCACTTTATCTTCCTCTTCACTTGTTTTTCAATAGCCTATTTATGTCACCTTGACAATTGGAACAGTGTAAACTTTGTCACTATCTGCTTAATAATTATTCCATTAAAGTTGAGTTAGACAAAAGAAAATGTCACTTCACTGTGGAAATAGCAACTAACTACCTTTTGAATATGTAAATTCTTACCTTTAAGCTTTTTTTTTTTTTTTAAAGCAAACAAGTAGGTTAGGAATAGCCAACTGCTGCACCAGCACACTTTTATAACTGTTTGAAATGCTTGTCAACAGTGCCAGAATGACAGTCCTAAAGTAAAAACTACCTAGTTACATCCAGAAAAATCTCAGGCAAAGACCTTGTCCTATCACTTTTGCTTGAGGGTTATTCTTAGGGGCAGTAATGCATTTCCCAAATGATCAGATGATTAACTAAGTGCTAAACACTATCCTGGTGTTACATTTTATATTTGCATTTAAGTTTCTGGTTTTGCTTGCTTGCTGGTTTATACAAAATACTAAGCACTGAAAGCTAATTCAGACTACTATTCACACCTCATAAAATCATAGACCATCACAAACAACAGACTTTTGCTGACATATATTAGACACATTTGAAATAGCAATGTAAAACTAATATTGTAATAACTATGCGAGGTGTCAGAGGGGTACTAGACTTACTGGGGTGATCACTTCGTGAGTTATATAAACATCTATTCACTATGCTGTACTCCTGAAACTAAGGCAATATTGTATGTCAATTGTAATTGAATTTTTTTTTAAATGATTTAAAAAAAATGCCATCATTACCATCCAGCCCACAGCTTTCCTCAAGTTCTCCAGTTGCTCTGACCCACTGTGGAGAGAGCAGAGAAGGTAATCCAAGCAGAGTTAAGAGAGGTTAGGTAAGAATCACAAGCAGAAAAGGAGATAGCAGGGGAGTTGTTTTACTGGCTTTTTGAAGCAGATCCACTTTAACTTTTTATCATTCTATAATCTGCTCCCACTCAGATAAGGATGATAAGCAAATTCTTTAGACTGCCTTTCAATATGACTTTAAGTACTTTGGTAGATTGGTTCCAAAGATGGCTGAAACCTATCTCCCAGCTTGCAGGTCTTTTGCAATGAGATATTGCTACTCGTCTCATTAGGAGGTAGAATCTCTTTCTCTTCCTCTTGAATCTAGCTGGCTTTAACCAATGGAATGTGGCAGAAGTGATGATGTGTGGCTTCTGAAGCTAAGCTTTTTGACACAGCAGCCATGAGTGACACCAGGTGAGACCAGTAGGAGAACTATCTCATCAACCCACAGGATTAAAAGAAATAATAAATCATTGTTTTACAACAATAGATAATTGAAAGATGTACCCTAAAATAATGTCTCATAGAGCAGTTAGAAAAAAAAAAGCATTTATAAAGCTAACAACTTTATTGACTTCATTGGTTATCTTGTCTAAGTTAATGACTTACATGTGGTACAGGCTTTTCCTGTGTAACCAGAAGGACAGTCACAGTTTCCAGTTTTTTTGTTGCATTGACCTCCATTCTCACAGGGGCCACAGGAGAACTGGCACTCTTGTCCTCAGAGGCCATCGGGGCAAGCTTGTAAAATAAAAAAAGAGAAAGAAAGGAGCTTGTAATTGCAAGATGGCCCCAGATTTCTGATGTTGCCTAAGTGAGTTGGGAAAGTGTGCATGTGTGTGCTTATGTGTGTGAATGCATATGTGTACCACTGAGCTACAAAGAAAGAAATATTTGAGTAGCCTCCAAGGATTTATAGTACTTCCAAAAATATTCCCTGAAGAAATCAACATAATGCTATATCCTGTCACTTTGGAAATACAGATACAGAGGTTGGCTTTTTGCTGAAAATGTGGTTTTTCAGGCAGTAACAATGGAAGCAATTTAGATATATGCCTTTGGAGGCAGTTGCACACAACAAAACCTGAAAATGAGATGTAATTCGTAAAGGAAGCTTAGGAGGCACGGTGCTTGGGAAGCTGTCCCCAAATGGTTGCTTGAATTCTGTTCTTCTAGTCTTTGCTTCTTTTGTAAGCCAGAATAATCACCCGAGAGGTTTGTAATTTGTGTATTTTATAAGACCACATGATGTACAAAGTGGAGAAAGAGGAAATGTGGGCTGCTTTGTTGAATGCCCTTTGAACTGGAAAAGCATAGCTGATGCTGCAGGGACCACTGAGGGCTCAGTTAGAGGTTTCAGCATATGTCCTACCATGGAAACCACTGGAATTAGAAATCCGGTCGCAAGTATTCTTTTAACACAGAGAAAACAGTGAAACTTTCCTAAATCTACGACAATTGCAAAAAGTAACATAGAACCAATTTGAGCTTAGAAGTATCTTCTTGTCCTGGGCAGTTTCGATGAATAACAGAATTACTAAATTTTCTAGGATGTCTGTACCATTCTTGGCTATTATCTGTTGATCACTTACTCTGTGCCAAGAGCTTTACATAAATTAGCTCACATTTTCATAAAAATTACTATACGACATAAGCAACATTATCTCCATTTTACTTAAGAAACTGAGGATTGGAGAGGTTAAGTGACTTACTCTGGATCACACAGCTAATAAGAACAAAGTCAGGATTCGAACCCAGATCTTCTGGCCTCTAAAACTGGTGCTCTCAGGCATTACAGCAAACTCATGCTGTAATACTAAATACTCAGCACCTTTCATGTCAATTAACCTGCTTATAGACAGACACCCAACAGAGTTCAAAATGTGTTCATCCAAAGTGGAACTAACAAACAAACAAAAAAATCTGTCCTTATTATGATGACACAAGGGTTGAATAGGCTTCCTCAGATAAACTCAAGGAGCTTGCTGGGCCAGCGACCTCCCCATTCAGAGGTTTGCCTGCAGCTGGGGTCCAAAATACCCTAGGCTACTAACCAATCAAAACAAAAACATTGGCTGTTTCCACCCCCACTCTTTCTCTTTTTTGATATTTCACAGATTAGTGTAAAAACCAGCTCTTTTGCTCTTAAAAGTCATTGCTGATGGGCTAAATAAGTCCTGGGGCTGATTGTGGAGAGCACTGTTCATTAGTGCCATTGAAACAATTTGCAGTCTTTAATTAACTATTCATCTGCAATCTAGACACAGGTCTAGAGTCAAGAGTTTTAAAAATATGTCTGGCTCTAGGAGCACTTGGGCTACTTCACTCTTTTTAAAAAGAAAAAGAAAAACAGGCCTGATTTTCATCATGCACAACTGTTGGAGAGCTCTTTTTGCCTTGATTTTAGCTGCCAATCATGGCGATTCCATTCACCCACTCCGCTCTGATTCATAATTTCATTTTGTGGTTAGACAAAAATATCAGAATTGGACAAAGTTATCTGATTGAAAAATAATATGTTTTCCAGAGATTATGGTGACCTCTCTATTTTACTGATTTACATATACTTTCAACTCATTTTCCTTCACAGTGGGAATCTCAGAAGCATTTTCCAATATAGTATATTCAGTAGCTGCTTCAAGAAAATGTTATCGGAATAAATTAAATTTAGTCAGGTGTGTTTATATGGTATTGTCTCCTCATGCAATGACTTCCAGGGCATCACTTCTTTAGTGGGGATATAAATAAGGGCTGACCTAGCCTTCAAAATCAGTTAAAGCAGGAGGTTTAGAGATTAGCATGAGACCTGCTCTTATACCATATAAAATACATTCATGTAATGTCAGGCTTCTGTTTCCCCAAGTTCTTTACCCCGTTACCTAGAAAGTCATAATCCCTAAATAGCCCTCTCTCCATGATTTCTAGATGAACATTCTGCCCAGACTCCAGTTCCACAGCCACGGGACGACCTGGATGACTCTTACTCCCTTGCAGTCAGCTCTAACAAGCACTGCAGACACTGAAGATGACAATGCCAGGAGCAGGGTGTAGCTTACGAGAGACAAAGACAACCCTCAAACCCAGAGCCGGTCACTGTGAGCAGACCCCACAGCATGACGACTGCCTTTCAAATCTATCAAATCGTCCGATTGTAAACAAGATCGCCCTTTGGACCACTGCAATGGCAAAGAGTTCACTTGCTATTAGTGATGATAATTTTATTTGTTATATGTTCAGGCTTGCTATATACTAAAGAGAAAAATGCTGTGATAATTTCTCCTGAATAAGATAGTAACAAGTGCTTGATTCAAACAGAATACATAACATGAGAAAAATATGTAAAGACTAAAATGAAAGGTTTTCATTTATTATGTTAAGAACGTATTTATTGAGCAACTCCTATAAATCAGGATTATTCTAGGATTTGGGGATACTTTGCTGAACAAAATGAATGGATCTCCTTCTTCCATGGGGCTTAGCTTCTAGCAGGAAGGACAGGCAAAAATATTAGACATTATAATAATTAGAGTATATGGTATGTTAGAAGATGATGTGCACTTTAGAAAAAAAAGGAAAGGTCAACAAGACTCAGAAGTTAAAATTTTCAGTAGGGCGGTAATGACAAGGTTCAGTGAAAAGGTGGAATAAGTAACATATACATATCTATATATGTTACTTATAATTGGAATTATGCTATAAACTTTTATATTTATATATTTATAAAAATGTTTATATAATATTTAGAAATTTGAAAAAGGACCACATTAATAATTATATTTAAAATTTCCAATTTTACCAGGGTTAGAATCTTCAAATTGTATTTGTTTGAATGATCTGTCTTTAGATATAAAAAAAATGATTTTTTAACTCTCAGAACTAGCAGTCCCCTTGGTTGAGTCATTCAGCTCAAATAAGTGACTAGCCAGCTTTAATCTTCTTAGGATAAGTCTCTGCAATGTGATCTTTCTTCCCTTGCTCTAAGCCAGCAAGGAGACAGCCAACAGCAGAGGCTGAGATGACAAGGTTAAATAACTTTATTGCCCTGTGTCTCAGTTTCCTCACCTGCAAATAGGGGATTAATAAAGCTTCCCCATCTCCTGAGGACACTGGTGGATTAAATAATTAATGATCATATGGTGCTGAACAAAGGCTGAACATTGTTATTAGAAAAGAAAGAAAATTTATCATCAGATTGTACCTTTCTGGCATCTGTTGCCTTGGTAACCAGATTTGCAGGTGCAACTGCCATTTTTGGCGTTGCATTCCAGGGTGTTCTCCTCCACACACTGACATTCTGAAGAGCAGCCAGCCCCGTAGGCCCCCTTGGGACAGTCTGCAAGCAGATTGAGGCAAAAATGGTCACCTAAAAACCATGCTTTTTTTTTTTTTTTTTTTCCCACATTGTTAGTGCACAGGCATGTAGTTCTGCAGGGCCTGATTATGGGAAAAACAAGAGGATCATTCTGACTGCCAAAAAAAAAAAAGGAAAACAAATGTCTTTCAAATCAGGCAATTCATTTGTTTTTTGGCAAGTGGATGTGAAGAGTGAAGCCTGAACTACTTAAAAGGCTTTGGTGCTTCCGGGGGAGAGAAATTGCTTCTCAATGTGCTCCGTTGGAGCCTATAGTTAATATTCTCCAAGGACTATGAAGGCCTGCCAGGACCCATATTCATCCTAACACAGCATGGAGATGATGGACAAGCATTGATGGGAAGGCTCACCATTGTTTTCCTTCCCTTTCATTACACGGTAATCGGAAATAATTTTACATCACGTAGATAACACACAACTTTCATCGTGACAGCGGCATTATCTTGGCCACATCTTTGGCAAACAGTGCTTGCCTTTCCTTCATTATTTTCCCCCATGTCGTTGAGTTTTAGGGATGATAGTCACATAGGAATTCTAACCTGAAGAAGCCCCACCTTTGCATTCGGGAAAACCCACCCTTAGTTCTCTCTTTGAGGAGTTACTTACGGTAATTCAATTCCCTTTCTGAAATATACCTTCGATAATTTTTTTCTCCCCCTTACAGATGTCCAAGGGACTTATCAAATGAAAGATCCTTCAAGTGCCCTCCAGGCTCAAGGTAATTGTATTTAATATATGCTCACTTAGGCTTTGCTAAGAAAGCTGCTTTTAGAGAACAAAATAAGCCATTTGATTTTCTGGTGAATGGAATTATTAACATCTGCTAATATTTGCTATTATTAGCAGAGATAATTTAAAGTGGTGGTTACAATGGCACCATGTAAGGGGATGCATGTCCTGGCCAGCCATAGACAGAGTTATCCTTAAAGTAGAACAGAATTATGAACAGGCTCCTATTCACTGTTGATATCCTATTTGGATGATAAATTATATTATCCCTTGTTCATCTTTCCTATGGCTGCCAAGTTTTGAGTCCTTTCTCAGATCCACCAAGTTCCAAGATCTCTCAGAGACACTATTTTTCTTGATGTAGGCCTCTACTTGCTCATTCCGGAACATTCGTTTTCCTGGATTGACTTCTATGCCCTTACTCTTTCTCATTCAGCATGTAGGATAGTGGTTCAGGGGACAATTCAGGCACAACAGAAAACTTAAATGTGGCAACTGGGTATATTAAAACACATAACCTTGGAACTATGCTTAGAAGGAAAAAGGGAAAGTGGCAGCAACTTCTTTTGTCAATCCACTGTCTGCTCGGGGTTTGCTGTGCATTGAAATAGGTCCTCCAAAAATTCAGAAGTCCTTACCCTAGTGGCTCAGAATGTGCCCTTATTTGGAAATCATGTCACTGCCAACGTAATTAGTTAAAATGAGGTCATACTGGAATAGGATGGGCCTCTACTCAGATATATGACTGGTGTTCTTATAAAAGAGAAATTTGGACACAAAAGCACTCACAAAAGGAGAATGCCATTGTGAAGATTAGAGTTAGGCTATTACAAGCCAAAAACTA